AACTTCTATTCTCAGTGAACTGTCTTTCCTGACCAGCTGTCCCTTGCTACTGCAGTTGGCTGTTAGAATCTCTGCATATAACAAACCTTCATTGTCTTCGGACCTGCCGTTTGATATTAGTGTGCTCATCGTCTTTTCCCTGGCCCCACGTGGGTCTGATGGGGCCTTCGTGTACGGCATGTCTCCGTTGTTGCTTACCATCCCCTTGTCTGCGCCTGACTTTGAATTTCCTTCATTGTCTTCAGACCTGTCGTTTGATCTCAGTGTGCTCATCGTCTGTTCCCTGGCCCCACGTGGGTCTGATAGGGCCTTCGTGTACGGCATGTCTCCGTTGTTGCTTACCTTCCCCTTGTCTGCGCCTGACTTTGAATTTCCTGATGTCACATCTGAATTGTCATTTGTCTCACTAATCTGTTTCAGGCTTTGCTGTTTCTCTTCTAAGCCCTGTATCCTAGCTTCTGCTGCTAAGACCTGTACTTCCCACTTCCTGCACTCTTCAGCTATCCGCTCCTCCATTTTCTTACCAAGCTCTACTATCTTCCTTCCCCACTCTTCCTCCCTTTTTTGGAGCTCTAACTCCCAGTCTTTCCTCCCTGGTTCTTCTACCAGATCTCTGGTTTTCCGTGTGTGTGTGTGTGTGTGTGTGTGTGTGTGTGTGTGTGTGTGTGTGTGTGTGTGTGTGTGTGTGTGTGTGTGTGTGTGTGTGTGTGGCTGATTTCCAATTTACAGTTCTCAGTACGAACAACTGACTTTTCCCCAGGATGCGACTCACAACAGTTGGCTAACACCCAGGTATTCCGTTAACTACAAGGTGACCACAGGCAGCTGGTGCAAGGTAACTCGTTTACATGTGCGTCTTCAGCTGCCATCCGTGTGACCTTGTGCTGCCTCAGCACCACCATCCGCGTGACCTTGCGCTGCCTCAGCGCCACCATCCGTGTGACCTTGCGCTGCCTCAGCACCACCATCCGTGTGACCTTGCGCTGCCTCAGCACCAACATCCATGTGACCTTGCGCTGCCTCAGCACCACCATCCGTGTGACCTTGCACTGCCTCAGCGCCAACATCCGTGTGACCTTGCGCTGCCTCAGCGCCAACATCCGTGTGACCTTGCGCTGCCTCAGCGTAACTTCATGGTCTGACCTTGTGACTCATTACGATCTTCGTAGTTAAACTGGCTCACATGTTAATTAAATTAAAATTTAATTAATGTTTCATCCCTAAGCATTATAAGAGCAGTACCTGTAGACTGCCTGTTAGTAGACGCTCGTCCTGACTCGTGCTGTCATCCCACAGAACACACTCAGCACACAACAGGTGTCCAGCCTTGTGACGCTTTTTACACAAATAAATTTTACAGGCTAAATCTATTATATTACAGGCTAAGAGCTGTTATTTTTCCTCCGCATAAGCTGAGGAAGGTATACCACCTTTCCCCAGGATACCACCAACAACAGTCAACTAACACCCAGATATGTACCTACTTATTGCTAGGTGAACAGAAACAACAGATGTAAAGAAATATGCCTAACGTTCTCAACCGTGTCGGGGATCGAACCACGGACACAGTATGTGAGCCACTGGAGCTGGATTATCACTGGTTTAGTGTCATGTGTTATATCTTTCGGCACTTTACCCTAAGGCAAGATTATTTTTTTTCATTTGTGTGGAGGATCTTTTCAGCAGCCACATAACCTTGGAAGTGAGAAGTAATGTACCCGGCTGAGAACTTTTCAACAGCATCCTCCACCACCTGTTTACTACCGCACACAGCTGCAGCCACAGAAGCAAGGCTAAAAACGTAATTTTATATATATATATTTTTTTCATATAATTGTGCCAATATGTTCAGTACAATGACAGTTTGCCATGGGTTAGGATTCCTTCCCAGTGACAACTCTTAGGAAATATAAACACATATGAGGTATAATGTGATCCTTTATTGATCGGTAGATCATCAGATGCAGCATTCCCCACCTGACCCAGCATTCTGAACCTGACTATAAATACTCGCGTACCTTCCACTCCAGGTCATCGCAAGATTGAGACCCGTGCCAGGGCTACGGTCTTGGCGAACATTATACATACATACACTCCAGGCAGATCTGTTTGTGACTTGAAAAAGCCCACTGTGTGGGCGAAACGTTGTCAATAAAGAATCACATTATACTGCATATGTGTTTATATTTCCATTGTGTCGGTATTTACACCATTTATTTCCACAACTCTTAAGAGTCACAAAATGAGCTGATCCTTCAACCAGACTTTCCGACCACAGATCATCTACACAATCCATTGACTTATTCTCATGCGTGCCTACCTGAGGTAAGTAAGTAAGTAAGTAAGTAAGTAAATTTATTCAGGTATACACAAATACAGTTACATAGAATTATCATACATAGCAGCATATGTGAAGTGAGGTATCTGTCAAGCTCACAGTTCGTGCCTATCCATTCTTCAGGTTCATCGCAAGCAAGACGACGGACATTCTTATAAAGTTTTTAGTTGCAACATTATAAGTTCAACCCTTACGTCCAGCAAATCTGTTGTTAAGTATGACATCAGTTCTCAAAGAGTGTGTCCCGGCCTGAGGTACAATTCAGGAAGGAAAACACTTTGCTTCAGTTGGTCTTTTAATGAAGCCGCTGGTTACCTAAGTTAAGCCTGAATTAAAATGCGATGAAACAAACCAGACAACCAAGTGTCATACAACTGGGCATCTCACTGTGTTCGTGTGACGAAGACGACCAATACACAGACCTAAGTTTATTTGTAAATAGTATAAGTTGAAACCTGGTAGTTATTTTATGTGCATCATACATTAATTTGTGGGTTGCTCAGCGGAGCCTCGCGGTTGTGTTGGTCGTCTTGATAACTTGCATGAATATCTTATTCAGGAAAAAATAATAATACCGTGGGTAGAGCAGGTCACAACAGCTCTCGGTGTTTAAAGAGAAAAATTCTAAACTTCTAAAAGCTTTCTCGGTTAAGCGGCCCTTGTACAAAATATTACTAACATTGATCCCGTACATAACATTGCTAAAATTAGCCATTTACACAGTATTCCTAATATTAACAATGGACACAACATTCGCAACATAAATCGTAGTCTTGGTTTTGTTATTGTTGATGCCTGCCTTTTCCAGTACACTGTTAAATGCTTTAATCCTCAGTACACATGTGGCTTGATCGACATCGACTTTATCCACCTATTCTCCTGCCCCGCCTTCTGGTATTTTTCTTCACCTTATGTCTTCTAACTTTATTTCTCCTCACTTCTTCAATTGACCTGTCTTCTATTTTACCCCCCTCCCCCGCATCCTTCTCTCTCTCCATCTAAAATTTTATCTATAAATTGTGTATTAGTTATGAAGTGAGGACACACAGGAGAGCCGTCTGCTTTAATATCCTTGCCTCGACCATCTATATAATAGTAAATGGTCTTCCATCAAGATAATAGACAACTCTCTACAGCTCGTTGTAACTTTATCCTGTCATGGCGCTAGACCGTAAACAGTACGTGCAGGGAAGATGTACTCAAATTCACCACGAAGTTAATGGGCAGAGACCAGACAAGTCTTCAACTAATAAAAGAGCACTTTTCTTGTAGTCAGAGACATGGGGCATGTGTTAGCTTTTGAATGATCATAATTATGCACGCAGGCGGGTTTACAGCATATTTAATGACCCATTGGCTTTAACTCGGCTTGTACGTAGGAAATCATGGCTTAATCTTCGAGAAAAATCCTGTGTTTACTGCTAGAACCATCCAGGAAGCTACAAATATAATAGTCTTTTGCTGCTCTTACTATTCTCGAATGTAACAAATACCATAGTATTACAGGTTATATACAATGAGTAGTATCTTACAATGTATATACATAGAGGCATGTATCACTTCGTGTATATACAGTGAATATTTAGTAATGTTTGTGTACACTGAGAAAGAGTCCTTAATATATCCCACGTTCAGTCGTTTTACCCTAACTAACCAGCCACAGTAACTACATGTTATGTACATATTTTTTTTCATTTATCTGTGTCAAAGGTCAGCTGGTGTCTCACCTCCAGAGAAATATGTAGAGAGACTTTAGAGCTTCTCATCATCACCTGAGTTATCAAACTACTTTCAGTGTTAACCACTGCTATTCTCTTGTTAATATCCCCTCAAGGGAGGTTCCTTGACGCTGATGAGGGGCTCTTGATCTAGGGAATGGGATCTGTGCTCCAGTTCCCTGAATTGAGTCTGAATACCTTCCATATCCCCCCCCAATGCGCTGTATAATCCTACAGGTTTAGCGCTCCCCATGATTATAATAATTATAATAATATTTTTAATGTAATGATCTCTATTATCCGTGAGCAGCTGGTTAATGGGGTTTAAAGCCTATCGACTATACGAAGTTCGTGAGGGCTGCGTCATCACCTGCACTCCGCCGGTCAAGAATACTTTAATCCTTAAAATAGTGAATATACATTGAGAGATATACACATATTTGTGTTTTTTTTTCAATCTCCCTCTCTTGTATTTCAGTCTTTTCCTTTCTCCAGGGGCTGCATGACCCCTACGGGTTTAGCACTGGGAGTTACAGTTCGTGCTCTCTGCAGATTGACGGGGGGGGGGGAAGGTGAGGACGTTGTAGTTCTGACGGTCAATTAAATTTTGATGTCTTGCGCACTCCTGACAAGACAGCTATTGAGTGAATAATGGTGAATGTTTCCTTTTTTTTGAGGAAGGGAAGGGGAGGGGAAGGGAGGGGAGGGGAGGGGAGGGGAGGTGGGGAAGCATCCTACCTTAATGAGAGACGGCCAGTGTGTTAAAAAATCTACGGTAATTTTTGGTATCCCTTGAAGAAGTACCCTTTTAAGCTGGTGTCTGAATTTTTTATATTTCGCATTTTTTAGGTATCCCCGAACTGGTATATTTAGGTGGTAGCCAGAATCTTTATTATTCTTATTATTAATGTGTGTTTTCAAAGGAGTATGTGTGTCCCTGGCAGGAGAGCTGCGGCTGGAGGTGCCGGCGAGGCCGCCACGGGTGTACGCTGGAGCGCCATCGGGAGTTGACGTGTCGGTGGTGAGAGCCGTTGACGACGACACTGCTGACAACCAGCAGTTCGTCAACAAGCATCGCTACTTCCTCTACGACTACCAGCACAACGGCCACTTCACATACTTCGCTATCGACGAACTGCACGGCAACATTACCACAGCCAGGTGAGTACCACCTTACACCTGACCTGACACATAAATAGCTGTGAATCGACCCCTGCAACAATATATAGGTGGGTACGCATTCTCTCTCTCAGTCGCTGCGCGATCCGAGACAGGTATCCCCGTATTCCATAAGCCCAGTCTCCTCTACCTCACCGCATGCAACAATATTGGAGGTTGGTTGTAATATTCCAGTGTAACAAAAATATAAAAATATGATATATATTTTATATATATATATATATATATATATATAATATATATATATGTGGATGTTTGTGCATATGAATTGGTACTATAGTACTTTCATATGTATACATACATGTGATATATATTTGTGTGTGTGTATATATGCAGCAGATGTGTACTTGGTATTTAAAGTTGGTATTTTTATATATTTTTGCACATGTATATGTGTGTATGTGTGCAAACCATACCACGGGACTCACGAAATCGTAATGACACGATTGCGTATGTGTGCATTTGTATATATGTATGTGTACATGTAGACATATATAAATTTGTGCAAATGTATATGTGTGCATGCACAAATAGATGAATGTGCATATTCTGCGTGCATGTATTTTTTACACTTATGTATGTATGGGTGCATATGTATATGTGTGAAAATATATGCATGTATATTCTTGTGTATGTATGCATGGGTCTCTTTATGCATATGAGTATGTTTACATGTCTCTGTCCCAGACTTCCGCTTGGTCGATTTCATGGGACTAAGAAATTACCTGGGTGGGCTAAATTGGAATGACCTGACTATAGGTCAGGTAGGTGGTATTGGTTGCCAATATGACATTTTTCAGAACATGTAGTTCTAGCTGCCCAGACAACTTATGTTCCAAGTAGGGAAATTAGATCAACCAAAAATGATCCCAAATGGATAAACAAAAGAGAGACATATATATGCATATCAAAAGAAGGGATGGGCAGGTATGAAATCAATATATTCAATTAAAGATAGAAATAAAAAAGGGAACAAGAAAGGCAAAAAGAGATTATGAGGCTAAAGTGGCATGGGATTCGAAGATTAACCCAAGACAAGATTGAGTGGGACAAGATTGGCCCACTCAAAAGTAACTCAGGTCAGATCACTGACAATGATAAAGAAATGTGTGAATTTTTAATTCTTATTTCCTCTCAGTTTTTACGCAGGAAGATACTAACAAACTTCCAGAAATAATAAATTATGTAGAACAGGACGATAATAAACTATGCACAATTAGGGTAACTAGTGACATGGTTCTCAAACAGAGAAATTAAAACCGAACAAATCCCCAGGCCCTGATGAACTGTTTGCAAGGGTTTTAAAGGAATGTAAGGAGGAGCTTAGCAAACCTTTGGCTAGTCTTTTCAACATATCACTACAAACTGGCATAGTGCCTGATAAGTGGAAAATGGGAAATGTAATACGTATTTACAAAGCAGGAGACAGGTCCTTAGCTTCGAACTATAGACCAATAAGCCTTACCTCCATAGTGGGAAAATTTACGGAATCAATAATTGCCGAGGCAATTCGTAGTCATCTTGAAAGGCATAAATTGATCAATGAATCTCAGCATGATTTTACAAAGGGGCGTTCCTGCATTACGAATTTACTAACTTTTTTTCGCCAAGGTATTTGAGGAGGTAGATCATGGTAATGAATATGATATTGTGTATATGGATTTCAGTAAGGCTTTTAACAGAGTTCCACATCAGAGTCTGTTAAGGAAAATTAAGACACATGGAATAGGAGAAATTTTTTCCTGGGTAGAGGCGTGGTTGACAGATAGGCAGCAGAGAGTTTGCATCAATGGGGAGAAACCAGAGTGGGGGCGGGTCACGAGTGGTGTTCCATAAGGGTCAGTGATGGGCCTTTTGTTGTTCACAATTTATATAAACGACATTGACGAGGGAATAAATAGCAACATAAGCAAGTTGCTGATGACACCAAAGTTGGTTGACTAATACATTCTAATGAGGACATTAGAGCACTCCAGTTTAATATAGACATATGCAAAGTTCTAAACATTGGACAAGAAAATAATCATGCCACATATAAGCTAAATAATGTAGATCTTAATATTACTGATTGCGAAAAGGATTTGGGAGTTCTGGTTAACAGTAATCTAAAACCAAGACAAGAGTGCATAAGTGTTATCAATAAAGCTAACAGAATCCTTGGCTTCATATAAAGGAGCATAAATAAGAGGAGTCCTCAGATTGTTCTTCAACTCTGCATATCTTTGGTTAGGCCTCATTTAGATTATGCTGCACAGAATGGATATAAATGCACTGGAAAATGTACAAAGGAGGATGACAAAGTTGAGCCCATGTATCAGAAATCTTCCCTATGAAAACAGACTGAGGGCTCTTAATCTGCACTCTAGAAAGGCGTAGAGTTAAGGGGGGATATGACTGAGTTGTATAAATGGGAAACAGGAATAAATAAAGGGAATGTAAATAGTGTGCTGAAAATATTTAGCCAAGACAGGACTCGCAGCAATGGTTTTAAGTTGGAAAAATTCAGATTCAGGAAGGATATAGGAAAGCACTGGTTTGGTAATAGAGTTGTGGATGAGTGGAACTCCCGAGTACCGTCATAGAAGCTAAGACGTTGTGTAGTTTTAAAAATAACTTTGAAAAATACATGAGTGGGTGTGAGTTGGACCTGACTAGCTTGTGCTAATAGGTCTGACGCCGTGCTCCTTCCTTAACTGAATGTGACCTGACCTGACCTGACCTGACTAGTTGGGTTATTGGTTTAAGCATGGGCCAGTAGGCCTACTGCAGTGTTCCTTCTTTCTTATGTTTTTATTTATGCACAGTGTGGATCAAATTTTTGTTCCAAGAACTTGATCCACATTACCGTACACAAGTTTTGAAAATTCGAAGCCGATTGGATATGGCGTTCTCGAGCTATGAGCAAAATAAAATCGAAGAGATGGAGGAAGAAAAGAAAAAAGAAAAGGGAAAAAAACCCAAGCAGCCTCTTCAAGGTATCCCTGTGTGGATACCTAACAGATAAATAATTAAAACAATAAATAAATACTATTTTTTTTTCAACACGTCAGCCGTCTCCCACCGAGGCAGGGTGACCCAAAAATGAAACACTTTCACCATCATTCACACATAATCACTGTCTTTGTAGAGGCGACCAGATATAACAGTTTAGATGTCACTCCAAAGAGCCAGTATCCCAAACACCTCCTTTAAAGTGCAGGCATTGTACTTCGCACCTCCAGGACTCAAGTCCGGCTAACCGGTTTCCCTGAATCTCTTCATAAAATATTACCCTGCTCACAATCCAACAGCTCTTCAGGGCCCAAAAACCATTCGTCTCCATTCACTCCTAACACTCTCACACATGCCAGCTGCATGTCCAGGCCCTTTGCACACAAAATTTCTTTTACCCCTTTTCTCCATCCTTTCCTTGGACAACCCCTACCCCTCCTTCCCTCCACTATAGACTTATACACCTTCCAAGTCATTCAGTTTTTCTCCATCTTCTCTAAATGACCAAACCATCTCAATAACCCCTCTTCTGCCCTATGAATGTCACTTTTTGTAACTCCACACCTCCTAATTTCCACACTACGAATTCTCTGCATGATATTCACACCACACATTGCTCTTAGACACGATATCTCCACTGCCTTCAGCCTCTTCCACCTCGCTGCAGTATTCACAACACATGCTTCACACCCATATAAGTGTTGGTACCTAGTGTTGTATATGCGTACTGTATATTTATATAAGAATATATATAGTTCTAGAGTGTGTTTATGACACAGGACATCTTGCATGCTGCACATATTACATCAGATAGCATATGGTTAAATTGTAGAACACTGTAATAATCTGAAGAGGAAGTGAAAAAATAAAATAGCGATGCTGTTGGATGGTGACAAGAGAGTAACAGGATCATACGAGGTAGCGTAGCACCCCGGGGTCTTGAGTGAGTGCACTAACGAAGTAGATTATCCTCCCTGGAAGATCTTGGGGATGTCGCTACAAGTGAACCAGTATTAAATGGCACACAGATTGTTCTGGTACTGCGTATGTGTTTTACTGACATAAGTGTCGGTGTTTGATATCATTTTTTACTCATTCATCGTTCTTTACTCTTTCAGCCCCTCTGTGTTTCAAATATTTTTGTTATATTGTCATTCACTGTATGCAGAGGTAAGGCATAAATGACGATAGAAGCCCCTCGTGAGTGAAATGTTGTACAAGATATATACATTGGGAGGGATTACTCTATTTTTTCTATAGGGGATTGAAATATTTTTCGATTGGTTTAAAAACCATTCCTCATTATGTTTAGATTTTCTAATTTACAGGAAGATCTTGGAAAATTATATCTTTCCGCTAACATCTTATTAAAAGTTTCACACCTATGTTTCACACTTATACATCACTAATGGCTTAGGTACCCAATAATGAAAAGTCTAAACAGCGTTTGGAGACCTCACACTCATATCATCATGTTTTCAACTACACTACAACCATTCTCTTCAAGGTCTTCCTTAGCTCTTTCTCCTTCCCTCTATTTACATACAACATATTTTTGTTAAATATTGTAAGCTTTCGCCAAATAAAAAAAAGTGAACACTCAGACTGATTACGGAAGCTTCAGGCACTCGACTTTCTTCCTACAAAATGTCATCCAATTCATCTCATTGTATGTTTCTTCAGTAAAGTTGTACGTAAAGTATACGAGTAAATACACAGATGGACGACGAACGCTAGTTCACTGTGTGGGGTTGAAAGGTGGAGACCGAGACACTTATGCTAAACATATGGGAATCTTTATTAAAGAAACGTTTCGCCACGCAGTGGCTTCATCAGTCCAATACAAAGTAGAAATGGGTAAGGGGAGGAGGAATTTGAGATAATCAGTCCCTCAGCCTGGAATCGATGTGTTCAGTGCACCGTATGGCCGGAGAAGTGGCTTACATACTGTAGTCAGGTGAGTCGAAGCAGTATATAAACTACTTCTCCGG